GGGTTTGCCCATATCACTAAAGCTAGGGGTTCCAGTGCCAACACATAAAGTAGGGGTGACAGTTGGTGATTTTGAATTTGTCGGACACGAATCCAGAGTTTAGAACTCGCGCCATTGGCGCTGAGTATAGGGCCCTGACCACCGAGATGAAGTCCTCAGGGAGCCCAAACTTGTGGTGGACTGCTTCCAGGAACCCCCATCCCAGCCGGTCAAAGGCCTTTTCTGATCGGGGTTCTTGAGGAGAACTCTATCGCAGTTTGGCTTCGAAGGGTGGTTTATGAGTGCAGTAGGAGCCATATATTTGAATCCTTCAGCCCGCATAGTAGCCCGCGATTTATGCTCAGAGTGGTTCAGTATTAATAATGGGACAAGGCAGGGGTGTCCTCTCTCTCCCCTATTATATGTTTTATCAATAGAACCTCTGGCAAATAACATCAGACAAAATGTTAGGATCAAAGGACTGGGAACTCAAGATGATGAATGGAAGATATGTTTGTATGCAGACGATATCCTAATTTCTATTACTGACTCACATGTTTCTCTTCCACATCTAATGCAAGAATTTGATAATTACAGTAGTGTCTCAAATTACAGCCTGAATATGAACAAAACAACAGCTATGTCCATTAATATACAAAAAGACAAACTAACTTCCTTAAAGAAAGATTTTGATTTTAAATGGACGGAAAAAGAGTTCACATATCTGGGGGTGACTATCTCTGCAGATATAAGGCGGACCATGGAAACTAATTTTCTGAAATTGTTAAAAGAGACTAACATCTTACTAAAAGAATGGAGAGTGCATGAAATCTCCTGGTGGGGAAGGATTAACCCCAATAAAACCTATATAATCCCTAAATGGGATTACCTAATTGGTATGCTCCCTCTCTCGATCTCTTGCCATTGGTTAAATATGCTACAAAGTAGTATTACATCTTATATCTGGAGAGGGAAGAGACCAAGAATCAATACATATACTGTGGCAAAACTAGCCACTAAAGGACTGGAAAAAGGACTTCCGTTATACAAATGAACTATGCTTCGGACTTGTGAAATACCCGTATTGTTATTGTTAGCTATACAACCAGGCAATCGGTTCCGGAACCATATGCACCATCCTGTTCGGGAAACGATTGAAAATACCGAATGAGAGACCACCCCGATGTGATCGTGTGTCCATCATTACTGAAAGGCAACAATGTTGCAAATGCTGTTAAATAGGGTTCGTTTGCCGAACATGAGGCGGCGGCCATCTTAAAACGCACGAATAGTGGTGTTTGGTCGTCGAGTGTCTGGAACTCAAAATGGACACTCGACTAACCAAGCACCACTAAGACCTCCAGGGCTACAGAAAATACCGAATGAAACCCACGAACGGCCCGTAAAAAAGGTGTTCTCTCTTGCGATAGAATTAATAAAACTTAAGGGGATCCCAGACATTCCCAAAGCTTTAACTAAATGGGAAAATGATTTAGCAATATCCATTCCACTCATTAATTGGTGTAAATCCTTTATGATGACTAAAAAAGCCATTCACTGTCTGAACATTCTAGAGACCTTTACCAAAATCCTGTAGAGATGGTATCTGGTACTGACTGCTCTCACCCAGACGGTTCTATGCTCCATATCTGGTGGGCCTGTCCCAGAATTAAGCCTCTTTGGAGTATTTCATTTAATCTTATATATAGGATTGGAGGTTTATGCCTGGAGCATAAAGAGGAAATTGCCCTACTTCATCTTATGGGTTCAGAAATAAAAGATAATCTTGATATTGTGATTATACATTGTTTAATGGCAATTAAAATATTAATTGCCAGATTTTGGAAAAATACTGAGATACCTACTAGAGACCAAGTTAAAGCCCAATTACTATACCAATTTGAGATGGAAAAAGGGTTGATCTTCATGAATGATTATTTTAACGTTAATATTTTGACGCTATATTCCAACCTTATTGACAAGACCAGAGGGCTTTAATGAGGTGAGCTTAACGGAATAACGTATTATGACCTACCTAGACCCATTTGAAATCCAGTGTTGGATAATACCTCATGGGCTCCTTGACCATATATATGATATTAGTTATATTTATTATGGAATTCTTGACCTGCCATTTTCCTATAATATCTTGGACCAGTTTTGTTCGTATTGTATGTCTTATACTTGTGGGTATTGGTTTGTGTTGGAGTGTGATATTCCTATACTTCGATATTGCATATTCAATTTTTATGTACTGGAAGGTTTATCTTTTACATACATACTATGTAATTTGCCATACCTGTGTGTGTTCTACCTGGGAAAGGGTGTCTTTTTTGTAGTACCTTTCTCGGTGTTGTACTGTATATTTATATTGTTATAAAACTGTTATAAAAAAAGATTGAAACAAAGGCCTTTTCTGCATCTAGGGAAAGCAGCAGCCCTCCCCCTTTTGATGCTTTGAGGCTCTGCATTACACTGAGGACCTTTCTAGTGTTGTTTGCCCCCTGTCGTCCCATCACAAACCCCATATGATGTGGAGGAGTATGGGTACCAGTCTCAGCGCATAGAATTTGGCTAGGAGATTGGCGTCCGTGTTGAGGAACGAGATTGGTCTAAAATTTTGCGGGCACGTTAGCAGTTTCCCTGGTTTGGGGAGAGTGATAATATGTGTCAACTGCATTTCCTCAGGGAGTGATTCCCCTCATTTGGCTTCATTAAAAACCTCTGCCAGTTGAGGCGCCAATACTTCTTGGAATTTGCTATAATGGTAGTTGGCTTTGTCTTTTGTAAAGGTTTTTATCGTGGCAATAACCGAGGTGATAGGTTGGGACATCGCTTCTCGTTGGTGGGCTGTCAAGGTAGGCAGGTCAATTCTGTCTAAGTATGTCGCTACGTCCGAGTCAGAGGGGGTATGGGTGGCAGGGTCGTGTTTGAGATTGTAAAGATCAGAGTAGTAACTCGCGAACTCATGCTAATGTCAGTTGGCGTCATTAACTTCCCTCCCGCTCTAGCATTCAAGTATGCTATCTTCTGTGCCTGCTACTGTTTCTTTAGCCTTAGAGCCAGCAGTTTGCCCGCTCTCTTCCCTTGGGAGTAGTGGGTTGCCTTAAGTCTCCGCAAGTGGTACCCCACTTTGTGAAGCGCATGTTGGCAAATTTGCAAGCATATGTGGGAAATTTGTTCCCGCAGTAACAGGGTCGGGGGGACCTGGTTTTGGGTCACCAGGGCTTAAAGCTCTTTCTGCCAGTTTAGTAATTGGGTTTGCGATTTGCGTTTGAGATACGAGACTCGTTTTATGAGGATTCCTTGTGCAACAGCTTTATGGGTCTGCCAGATTGTGTGGTGTGGTAGTGTGGGGTTAGTATTATCTGTGAAGTAGTGGTGTAGGGAGGCAGACAAATCATCTGCAAAGGTTGAGTCTGTCAGGAGGGTTTTGTTGAGACGCCAAGGACTCCTGAGTTTGAAATCGTAAGAGTCCCTGAGGATCAGTTCCACAGGTGCGTGGTCTGACCACACAATTTGTCGACTATCTGTCCCAATGCTGCGCTCCCCCAGCAGAATCCCATCTTTCCTTGAGTAGGTGTTATGGACTGTCGAGTGATAGGTATAGTCCCTATCTTCCGAGTGTGTGGCCCTCCGTGCGTCGTAGTAACGGTGTAGCGTTAATAGCTTCACTAGGGCTGTGCATTGGCGTTTGAGTGGTTTGTATCTAGGGCTTCTGTGAGAGAGTGTGGTGTCCAATGCGGGGTTTAAAACATGGTTCAAGTCCCCACAGAATATAGTCATGCCCTGTTTTATACCAGAGACCTTGCGTATTATCATGTGTAGGAAGTTTCTTTGGTTTGTGTTAGGTGTGTATATATTCACTATAGTATAGAGGACATTGTTTATGCGTCCCACCAGGACGTCCTCCCGGTCTGTATCCTCTAAGATCAGTTCAAAGGCCACTTTCTGGCTTATGAGGGTGGAGACCCCTTTAGATTTAGTTTGTGATGTGGAGTGGTATTGATAGGGTAAATTGGTGGACAGGATGCATGAAGTGAGTCTCCTGCAGGCACACAATGTCGGCTTCGCTTTGTCGTATGTCCCTCCCCAGGAGGTGCCGCTGTACTGGGAGATTCAGTCCCCTCACATTATGACTATAGATCTTTATGGTGTCATGTATGGGAAGCACCTGTATATTACCAGTTGACATTTACATTTTTGGAGGTGCTGCTCTTCCCATCTCAGTCGAGCCAGGCAGTTCCCTCTTTGTGCACCCCTAAGAAACGTGGATGTGTATCCTGGGTGTCCCACCCCAGAGTCCAGCTCCAGTGCAGGGGTCCTGTCAGACTCAGCATAATAGATGATGGTAGGTGTATATGGGCGACCCACTAGGCCCTTGTGTAGGTGGGGGGAGTGGGGGTAGGTAGGGTTGTGCATCAGTATGAGAAAAGAACAAAATGCAAAATAATAATCAAACATACTAATAAATATAAACGTGAAAGCCTAGAGTGTGGCTAGGCACCTATAAGAGGTGCCTTGGGGGTCGGAGCAGAGAGCTTCGATCCTGGATGATATTGCTACTGCGAGGTCGGCCCCCCGCTAAACATGGTGAATGAACAAGCTGACCCTAAAGTGTATATTCTGTATTCCCGTGTTCCGCATAGCCCAGTCTATGGTTAAGGGCCCCTGTGGGGGGCTTTCCAAGATATCATGCCCGTCCCACTTACATGAATGTTACTCTAACAGAGCCCATGTCTAAATGCGGTGAGAAGGGTAATTAATTGGCTAGTGGCTACTTGATACGTGGGCGACCGCTTTTCAAGCGCGTTCGGCTAGGAATCTAGTAATGGCACCGTTTTGCTACACGGTTGTGCTTCGGTTAGGTGCCTGGTAAGGCTATTCAAAAAGCCTCTAGTACTGGTTTTGAAGGTATGCAATATTAAGGCTATGGATTATGTTTAAGTATACAGAAACAACACATTATACTTGCAAACTCAGGAAAGTCTTTGGTTGTAGTGCCGCACGCAGCATGCCTGCTATTTGAGTGCTTTCTTCCGTACATGGGGCAAGCGTCCGGCTGCCTCTGGTTGTTGTGCTGGTGTATTGAGTCCCCAATCTTTCAACTTCTGCAGTCCGTCCTCGGGTGTGCAGATGGCGCTGAGAGCCCTGTTACGTTGTACCAGTAATTTGGTCGGATAACCCCACCTATATGCGATGTTATTGCTCCTAAGTAGGTTGGTGATGATGTTGAAGGTTATTCTTTTCCTGAGCGTCATGGCTGAGATATCCACGAAGACTTTAATTTTCTGGTAAGCGGCTGGCAAGTCTTTTTGTGTGCTGCTGGCTTTTATGATTGCCTCCTTGGCGTGATAGTAGTGCATTTTAAGGACTATATCCCTAGGAGTATCGGAGGCAGGTATTGCGGTTTTGCCACCCTGTGGATTCGGTCCATTAGCAGGATATCCTGGGGCAGATCTGGAACACAGAGATGAACGAGTCAGGGACATTTCTTAGGCGTAGGTTACTGCGGTGGGCCCGGTCTTCCATAACAGCCAACTTAGCCTCGTAGTCATTAATCTCGTCCCATACTTTCCCCACTCTGGCTGTGAGACGGTTGTGGACCTCCACATGCGCCTCCATGTTGGATTCCAGCTCTGAGGTGCGGGTTCCAAGTTGTTGGATGTCCGTGCGGAGGTCAGTGAAAGACCACTGTAGTGTGTCTTGTAATTTTGATGTCATGCTGTCAAACATAGCTTGCAGGCCGTCTGTGGTAAGTATGAGGCCCGTGGGATCCGGGTTTACCGCCTGTTCGCCGTCTGTATCGATGCCATCTTGGGAGTCTTCCAACAGCAGTGCTCCCTTTGCCTGTCCCTGTTTGGCACCAAAAAAATGCAGCTTGTCCTGCTTTTCGGATGCCCGTTTGCCCTTGTGGTGGGACATGGTCGGATAGGTCTTTTGTTGCAGTTTTTCCTGAGTTTTTTGGATCTTAGAAGCTGTGTGAGGGCCTAAGTGCCACGGAGCTAGCCAAGCATGCGATCGCGTTCAGTTCCAGGCCACACCCCCATGCAGAAAGGTTTTAAGGGTGATCAGGACAAGCTCCTTGATGCCATCAGTACCATATCTAGGACTTAGTTGAAAAGGTCTCCAAGGTGTCCCTACCAGAGAAGTGTTTGGCAGGGTTGGTCAGCAGTGGGTCATCGAGCCCCCAATTCATGTTTCCCCATTTGTGATGATTGCATGGTCATTTATCACATTCAAGTGACAATAACCCTGATAACGCCTCTCTCATATAGCCAACCATGGTTCCTGGATCAACTGGAGTTATCTTATATTGATATCTGCTTGTGTTGCCATCTTACCAGATGCATGTCACAGATCCGCAAGTTAACCCTCGTTGCTCCTGATGGCCTGCTCTCTGATGGCTCTTCCAGGGGTTTCTGACATGTCTATAAACTTTCCCATGTGGCTAAAGACATGTTATGGGACCAGACCCGGACTGGCCATCGGGCACACCGGGCAAATGGGCCGAGGCTGGCAGGGGAGGTCTCAGGATCTCCCCTGCCGGTCTTTGCAGGGCCGGCACTCTCCTAGCGCCGGCCCCGCTGTTTGCCATGACGGGCCGGTGGGAAGATCAAAGCTCTCCCTCACCGGCCCAAATGCGTCCGCCGGCGGTGAGGGAGGGAGACAGACAGCCGCCAGGAGAGGAGGACCCGGTGGAGCTCTAACTTGCAGCTCCGCCGGGTTCCTCTCGCGAGATCCGGCGGTTGCCATGGCAACGACCGGATCTCGCGAGAGTGAACTCTAGTCTCACAGGCTAGAGTTCACTCACCCACGAGGACCACCAGGACCCCCCAGTCCCAGCGTGCCAGACCCCCCCTCCCAGGCTAAAGGTAAGAAGGGGGACATAATGCCTGTTTTTGTTTATTTAACCCCCCTACACACACAATAACATTTATACAGCACTCTCACACACAGCACTCTCACACGCATCACACTCTCACACTCACAGCACTCTCACACCCATCACACACAGCACTCTCTCACAGCACTCTCACACCCATCACACACAGCACTTTCACACACAGCACTTTCACACACAGCACTTTCACACACACAGCATTCTCTCACACAGCATTCTCTTACACAGCATTCTCTCACACAGCATTCTCACACAGCACTCTCACACAGCACTCTCACACCCATCACACTCTCACACCCACAGCACTTTCACACCCATCACTCACACACAGCACTCTCACACCCATCACTCACACACATCACTCTCCCACCTATCACTCACACATGGCATTTTCACACCCATCACTCACACATGGCACTCTCACACACATCACACACACACAGCACTCTCACACACATCACACACACATACTGCACCCCTCACATACACACAGAACCCCCCAACACACTGCACCACACACATACACAATACTTCCAAATATATATATATATATATATATATATACACACACACACACTACACTCTTAACATACACACTCTGGATCCCCTATACACACACTAGATTCCTTGTAAGCAAACACATACTACACCCCTAAACACACACACACACTATAGCCTGTATGCACACACTTGCTATATCCCCAATACACACATTCTCTACAACCCATAGCCACATATGCATCACATTACACCACAAACACAACACGACTAAAACCGACCTTATTACACAATACCACACCACGAATAGCTCACTCTACACACAAGCAGGCTCCAAACACATGCACAATACTCTTTCCTGGCCCTTTTGTCTCCTGGTATCCATTTATAGAGACACCAGAGACAAGTTGCAAGGAAACACAGTGCAAGCATGTTATTACATTTTCTTGCACTGTGCAGAACAAACACAGGACTTTTTTCACATGCTAGAGCTCTTCAGCAGAGCTCTGAGCATGGTCTGCCCTGGAACAGCATTGAACCAACATGCTCTACTTTGAGAGGAGGCGTGTTTGTCATTGGTGATGACAAAACACACCTCCTCTGCCCCGCCCCCTTTTTAGTGGGACGCTGTGTTAAAAAAATGCCCGGGCCGAATTTTTCTCCCAGTCCAGCCCTGTATGGGACTAATGTGCCCCAGGGATAAGATGTAGTATCCTCTCAGTTTGAAATTACTGGATTTGTTGGTGTGTGGAACTGGATATTGATCCATTTACATCCCCTATATCCGCAGTCTTAAACAACCAGTTTTTTTTGTCAGGTTATTCCTATCATTCCATAAGCGTAATTTGTTTCGCAATTTTGGTAGCTCATGTTCACATTCAATGGGTTCCTATCGGCAAGGATTTTTTATGGGATTGGACAGTTAATAACTGACTTTCTCTTGGGCAGTTGTCAGCTAATTTACCTTCCATCTGTGATTGGTCTCCTTTCATCAGGTATTGGACATACGGGCCTTTGAAATGGATGCTTTCTTGTTTTCCAGAAGGAGTTACTTTTCTGTATCCCAGGATTACTACACTTATTATTTATCCTGTTTTAATATTTATAAATATTATGTTGATTTCTAATTGGTGGACTGATTTTGGCGCCAATTTTAACAAATTTTCATGCCTATATTAACCCATGCTGCCAGGTTGTATTTCTTATTCCATTTGATAAAGCCATATGTGGTGAAACAAACGCGTTGTGGACATAAAATACTGTGTATTTTAACTTATTAAAGGTTTTTTGGTCACCCTTTTGTGCCAATCATCTTTGTTACTCTCATCTATTTTTTACCTCTGGGCATTTTTAAGTTCTATACTTCAAGTAATCCCAAAGTGGGGATAATACCACCATCGCTGAGTTCATAGAGCAGTTAGCCTGCTCTATTCTTGTAAGTATAATTTTATTTCCTTTTATTGAGATTGTTTTATTTTATTGAGAGCACTATCTGTTGCCCTTTTTATTTTTTTCCTGAGTGTATGGACGTGGTGGACACTTGCTGCATATCCTTTAAAGCGGGGATTATACCGCTGTACACCCTTACCGCTAGAGCTGACTATATCTCTTTTAAATGTGAGTGTTTCATTGCTAATTTATACTTTTATCTGACTGTATTTAACAACTGCACTATAACCTGTCCCTGTTTCCAGTCTTCTACATCATCTCGATGTGGTGGACACTTGCTGTATATCCTTTAAAGCAGGGATCATACCACTGTACACCCTTACTGCTAGAGCTGGCTATAGCTCTTTTAAATGGGAGTGTTCCATCACTATTTTTTCTTACTTGTATCTGACTGAATATAACAAGCTGCACTATCACCTATCCCTGTCTCTTGTCTTCTATTTTATCTATGGCCAAGTCAAACTGAGGACAGTACACTGTCAAGCACTGACTTTCACCTTTGGATATCAAGAACTTATAATGTGAGACTTTACTTCTTCTTGCACTAGACCCATTTGCCTTTGTGCCTGATACAGTTGCATCTTTTATCGTTATTTACTTGTGGCACAGCCCTTTCTCTCTTTTTCTTTTTTCGTAATTTTGTCAAAGGGTTTTTAAAGGGATTCCTTTTGTTGTGTCCGCTGCCTACCTATTATGTGTGTGTTAGTTAGCGCTGACTATCTTGTATTTCTATATATTCTTCATAGGCATGCATTCTATTCTAGGTGCGGCGGCTTCTTCTGCTTTTTTTGGTGGCGTATCACTCATAGATACCCTACATTCGCCGGGCTGGTCTTTGGAATTGCATTGAATTATATGTATTTTTTTCTGCTTTTCTTTATATTTGGGAATGCTTTTTTGATATTTGATGATCTGCCTTGTTTATGTTGCTTTCATTACTTATGGTGTTTTATTGTTAGTCTTATGGTACATTAGTATATGTATTTAGCTTGGATTTTAGAATATAAATGTGTTTATTGTTGATGACTAAGATTCATTGAGTGGCTTCAGTTGGATATTGTTGCACACATCTTATTCTTATTATGATTAAGCCTGTTAAACTTTCTATTTTCAGTTTGATTTGCTTCTGGGGACGCACCTGATGTTCTGGTCCTGTTATAGTGCTCTTCGTTCTTCAGGACATTCATTCTAGAAATGCTGGCTGTTGTTACTGTTTTTTTGTTTTACTGCTCTGTCTTTATTTTGTTGCATTAAAAAAAGTAGGTGCTTAGTTCCTCTTATACACACCCTACTTATTGTTGATTGGTTCTTTGTTACTATGCATTTTTTTCTTTTGCTCCTATGGAGCTAGATAAAGAAGGATAATGCAAAATACTAGCCTCCTGTCATTACTAACATTAAGATTATAAGTACACTAAAGCTAGCATAATCTTCAATTGTTGATTAAGTGATTTCCTTTCCAAACATTACACAGCTTAGATTGGTCCTATGGCACAGCCATTGCTAGGAACTGAGTGTGGTTTCCTATGTCAATCCCAGACCTTTATAGTGTTGCAGCAACTTCACAGCTAGTCAGCTTTTCATAAGATTCTACTACAGTAAGGATCAAAAGTTGAAGCCTGAGCCAACTTCAAAAGTTAATTCAAATCATGTATGAGCACCTGGTGATAACTTGGGACATCCCTGGACTGTAAAACACAGAGGAAAACAGCGAGAATATGAGAATAATCTCATATTCTCTGAAACTGTGCTTCCACTTGAAATTGATGTGCTAAGTGAGCAAAAATCTACACAGAAATGTATGTGAATGTGTATATAACTCATTATATATATATATATATATATATATATATATATATATATATATTTACAAATACAGGGAGTGCAGAATTATTAGGCAAATGAGTATTTTGACCACATCATCCTCTTTATGCATGTTGTCTTACTCCAAGCTGTATAGGCTCAAAAGCCTACTACCAATTAAGCATATTAGGTGATGTGCATCTCTGTAATGAGAAGGGGTGTGGTCTAATGACATCAACACCCTATATCAGGTGTGCATAATTATTAGGCA